CTGAAGAACAAAAACAATTACAAATTCTTAACACTTCCACATTCAGGATGTGTCATATAAAAATTTTTTTCATAGTTGGGTAGCTTGAAGTTTTTTTATAGTACTTTATTCTTATGCCTGTCAAACGCAACTCAAAATTTAGGCCCTTGCAATGTTCTTCGGTCCAATGTTAGCCTCTCAACTAGCCGTCTATACCACACTCCGTTTATCACAAACTATTTGCGGAATTATCATGCTAGTCACATTGGTTCCTGCTGTGTATAAACTGCTCCCTGAGACTCATTCAATTCCCAAGCTAGCAACAGCCAGACTAAGACCTCAAGTAAGTTACAGTGATAGCAGCAGCGTCACCGCAACTATGCTTCTTTTCTCATTTACCTTCAGGATTATTTGCCAATGGTAAAACGGAACTCAGCTCTCAGAGAAGGGCTCCTACTCCGTGGACTTCTTATCGCGGCTTACGTCTGCTACGAACTCATTTCAAGGAATTTCCTATTAAGATCTTTCATGCAGGTAACCAAATAAAAGCATTTTCTGATCTTCTAAGTGTCAGTAACTTGCTTCGAATTAAAAAACTAAAAACTAATTTAAAAGAATCCCTACAAGCAATCCTATCTTTCCACGATTACTAATGCTTAAAATTTTTAAAAATTAAATGTGCTTTCCTTAGAAATCATTCTTAATAGGGGCCACACGATTCTGCAAAAGTTTTGATTGTTATGGGTGCTTCTTTACTGGTCGTCCAGTTCTTCATTTTGCCAACACTTCAAAGACGTTTTTCTCCTAAAGCAGTCCTCCAAATTGCGCTGGCTTGTCTTACTTGTTCATACATGGCTGTGAACTTTACTACAAGTCTTGCGCAGCTACTTATAGTTATTGCTATACACACTGCATCTTACGCAGTTGCCTATGCAGAAAGCTGCACACAAATTACAAGGTAACTTTACCCCCTAAATTTTTGATTTCACTCTGACTATTACTTTTTTTCAAAACAGATCCTAAAAAATTATTTAATCTCCTAAGTCTTGGATGAGAGAGTCGTAGTATTCTAATAATTTTCTCAAAATTCACTCAAATAAATAAACTCTAAAAAGTTGACCACATAAAAAAAGTGAATTACATTTCCTAAATTGGGTACCACAGTGACTTTGTATGAATACTACAATTTTTTTGAAAACGGAAAAGCTTTTCTTGTGTCATGAAGTGAAAAACCAAAAAAAAACTTTGAAAAAAAACAAAAAATCCTTTTATTTCCAACTCCTTAAATTTCGGTACTCGAACTGATATTTTTTTTAAAAAAAAACTAATTTAGCGCCGTCGACGTAGCAGATGTCGGAAAAGCAACAGGACTGGCGTCAACAGCTCAGTGGATTGCTCATTTCTTTGTACCAATATATACTTCTCATGTAGTACAATCATGGCATTACACGTACGCATTTCATACTAGCGCTATTCTTTCAGTAGCAACCCTGCTTTACGTCACTCTTATCACAAAACATTCAAACGCTCGAATGCATTCCTTATTACCACACATTGGTATAGCGTAAATGTAAATATTTTATAAATTATGTAAATTGAATAATTAAATACAACAAATTTTTTACCTGCAGATGTAAAATAGTAAATATTGCAAATAAAACTTTTTTTTTCTTGAAAGAATGCAGCGAAACCCTTACCTTAAACTACTGAATGAACTGCTTCATTCAGCACAAAAGAATGATTGTAATTTTTAAAAAAATCTTCACAATACTTAAAAATAACTTCCAGTTTAAGTTGAAGCAGACAAAAAAATGATAAGTCAAACAAGACCAACCTGTGCACAGACAGAGATCAACCGAACTGAACTGAGATAATCGTCTGCTTACTTGAAAAACCTTGAAACATTGATAAAACAGATCATATAAAACAAAGAGAATGTCCATCAATAAAACAAATATAAATTTTGTAATACCTGTATCGCAAGTTCTCTGGTTGGCACCAAAATTAAAACACGTGTAACCGACTTTTTTCGCGGTTTGTATAACAACCTTTCAAGTATAGGAAGCATAAAAGCTGCAGTTTTCCCAGTTCCTGTAGCTGCGCAAGCGCAGATATCTCGACCTTCCAAAGCTACTGGAATACATGCACTCTGTATAAGCGTCGGTTCGGTGAAACCACACGAAGTTACAGCCTGCAATATCAGACAGAATCTCCCTGACGAAAAAAATTAGACTCTAAGCCAAAAAAGTCACCTTCAATAGTGGGCGAGAAAGACTAAGTTGGTCAAAGGTTTTTATAGGACTGGAGGAGCTGGCAGCAATCACGTGTGCTGAAGTTTCCTCATCAAAAAGATGCGGCTGTTGTTTCTTCCCGTCTTTATTCCGTGTTTCCTTATCTCTAACGCTATCTGGAAATATAAACAGAGTAAGAAGGAGAAAAGAGCTAATTTGACCAAAAAAAAATTATATGATAAAAGTACCAGCTACATCTTCCAACTCTTGCACAATCATGAAATTTTCGTCATCATTATCAGAGCATTCAAGATGGAAAAGCTTCTTTCTTTCTTTATCAATCTTTTCCTGAAGCGTACTGATAATACTTTTTCTAAGGTACGGACGCACTGCCACCAATTCATCCTTTACTAAATATATTTTATCAAAAAAAAGAAAACTCAAATATGGATGAAATGTAACTTTAAAACAAAAGTACCCCTCACTTCTAACGAAAATTACAAATTCTGAATAAGCTAATTTTCAAATTCTAGAAATAAATGCGTCATAAACCAACTCTTTGCTCCGTTACGCTCAATATTATTATGAATTTACCCCTCGCTTAGCTGATAAAAGACGATTTTTCAACTATAAAACAAAAAAATCATTTTAAAAGACTTTATACGCTGTAAAAATACAAAAGTGGTACGGCTGCCATAGGAATAACTGTATTTGAATATCCAAAGCTTCCTTTCACTTAGGGCACACGTTAAAGCTTCTTGCTTCATTCAGTAGCGTAACACCTGTAGCTACCAAAAACTACTTGCTTTTCGAAAAATGAAAGGCAAAACGGGTTTTAAACAATTACTTTTAAAAGTTTGAAATAAAAGTGGGAAGATGATATAAAAATTGTACCTATGTAAGTTTTTGAAATGAGTTATAAATATAAAAAAATTTGCATCTCCATTTCATCTATACCTTCAAAACGCGTTTATCAGTCAAAGCACCATCCCAAAACCTCACAGATTTTATAAAATAAGTTTCAAAAAAGCGCTATGCAAAGAAGTTTGGAATTCAGTTCCTTCAAGTGACTGTTTATAAGTTCCCTCCACTTCCTAAAACTTAAATTTTTATTTCAAAGCAACAATTAGGCAGTTCATGGTAAACGTATAAAATACGCTACCAAATAAAGCAAAGACTTTCTTTAATGCCCATCTGCAGTGAGAAAGTTGCAAATTCTCATAAGCAATCATAACTAGTGCTTAGCAGAGCCTTTTTGTAGGTACAACATAACTGTGTAGTTGTTGCGTATAATACTAGAGATACTATAGCACAGACTAGGAAAAAAACTACAAAAAAATTTCTTGTTAACAGTAAACCCTTGAGCCGTATTAAGAGTATTTAATACAGGATCGAATTCCTACCCTCAAAAAAAAAAAAAAAAAAAAAAAAAA